TCGGGTTACGAGTCATCGGTTTGACTGTCCAAGTTGAATGAGTCAGATCGTGCCACATTAGCAACACAATACACATACACACACATATACATTATATATATATATATATATATATATATATATATATATATGAATGAAGTGTGAAACTTTTTTTGGACTAAAAAGTAGTTCAACTTTTGGGTTAGATATGTTAATCTTTAATACCATAAATAAATAATAAAAATTAATAAAATATAAAAATACAAAAATGAAAAATATATATAAATTTTGCAAAAAAATATTTAGACACATGTATAATATCATGTACTTATCATATTAAACTAAAAGTAAGTATGCCATATCACAATTATTTTTACACACAAAAATAAAAAAATATATATATAGAAAAATTGAACACATCTATAATTCTATATTTACACTACTATTAAAAATATGAATAATATTGTAGAACTTTCTTCTGACTAAAATCAAGGTTCTAAAAACAGACCTAGAAACTAAACTGCTTTGGCTTTTGGTTTTCAAGTCAATGGTTCAACCGTTCAATTTGAGCGGGTCAAACCGATAAGATGTAAAATATAATGCAACTTTTTATTTTGACCGTTAGATTAGGATTAGGTTAAAGTCCACCGCATATATACATTATTATGAGAGGGGAGTGTGAGACTTTGAGAAGGAGGTAGATAGTTAAAGCTAAGAAGTGAAGAAGAAGAAGCATTGTCGAAGGTGGTTGTCACCATGTTCATCGGTTGTTGCAGAACCGTTTTGTCTTGAGAAGAAGAAGGAAACGCCGCTAGAAGCTATCTCCATATTCATCATCACCACCACTACAACACTGTTTGCCCTTTTCTTACATCTCTCTCGTCTCTCTAAATCTCTCTCAAATTCCAGATCGCTTGCTTTACTGGTGTATCTCAACTTTTAATATAAGATTGATGTTTAGCCTCTCATCTCTTGCATTGATTTTTCGATTTCTTCATTGGATTTGCAATATTTTTTATGTTACAACTTAAAAAGAATCATAAAAATGAGAAAACTCAAAATCAAAATGGAAAAACTAAAAACTCTAGCTAATTTTGGGCATTGGGAATAACCAAACAAGATTATGACATATGAAAATTCTTTTTTCAATTTTTTATTTTAAAATAAATAAAAAATTTGGAATTAGTCAACTCAAGAACCGTTAGTCGGGTCGAACATTTTACCGGTTAAACCATCCAAGTTAGTAGTTCTCTAACCATTTCAACGATTTTTTTTTTTTTTGTAAAATAGCAATTTAGGGCCAAAATGGAATTAGTGACCTGATCGATTCCCGGGTCAAACGATTCGACCATCCAGTTTGGTCTGGTTTTTAAAACATTAACTAAAATACTCATATTCGAATTTAGTCCCTATTTACTTGTAAGGTTTAATTTGTAAATTGAACTACTACTTTTTACCCCATTCAATTCCCTCTATTTGAATCTTGCATTTTTTTTATAAATGAACAAAAGAAAAAAGATACACTAAAAATATAAAACACTACAAAAATAAGAATCTAGCCAAGCAGAATGGCCTATCAATGATACTTGGATGAGGTGTTTATATATGTGTGTCTATGATAGTAGGTATAAACATATATTTTATCAATAAATAATGTATAATTATGTTCTAAATGTAATATATGTATTATTTTATATTTAATTTATGTTTTTTAATTCAGTTTTTTTTAATTTTGATTTATAAAAAATATTAAAAACTGCATTTTGAGGCCAAAAAAAGGGATATTTTGGCAAAAATAGCGGGTACAACACTTTGGGATGCATAGATCTCGAAAAATTATCAGAAATGAAGAAAAAACCTCAATTGAAAATCATAGTGCAAAGTTATGGCCTCCCTAAGTTTGCATACACATTGAATGTGCAACTTGTGATTCAATCACAGGGTCAAATGGGTCAATGTCCAATTGTCTGAGGCATATGATTTTTTACCAAGATAATGATTTTTTACTGTCCTTAAAGTTTACTAAAACTAGATTCAGAATCTTAACTGGATGACTGTAACGGTTCAATTGGTTGGACCAATGGTACAATTTTCAACCATCCTCCAAATTTTACTAAAACTAAACCCAAAATCTTGATCAGTTAATGGTTCAAATGGTTTAACCAGTCGAATCAATGATAATTTGAGAACACTACCATAAGTGAGCCCGGTCCAATGATCCCATCTCAACCCTAACCCAACCAAGTTACATCACTAAATCATCAAGTGTAATACTGATATTGGCTTAAGAGAATTAATCTTCATACTAGTGCCAGAAAAAAATAATTAATTTGTATGGATTCCAAACGTTACTACATATGGATCAGAATTCAGAGACTGGGGGAGGAACTTTGTAGATGGTAACTGAGTTCGAACGACTCTTGCTAGACCTTAAAACGGTGATGTCATGCAGCCACCGACACAAAGAACTGTTACCATTCGTTTCCGACCTAAACATCATTATCGCATTATCCATTATTATTATTCCTAACTATAATATTATATTATTATTAATATAGTTGTTGACTTGTTTCTGTTACGTAATAAAACCTTGAATGACATTGTTGCTTTGTGATATTGATACTGAAAAATTAGGGTACGGGTTAAACCTTGTTCTAGACTTCTAGGTCATTATCGTTGTACACTAACCAATGATAATGCATCAAAATTGGCAGGGGTGGTTTTAACCATATACCAATACTTGTATATTATTATATTCATGAGAGATGAATGAGGAGCAGATTTTTTTATTCATTAGACTCGCAAAAGTGAGAATGGTTGGAAAGTCCAACCAATCTTATATGTATGTATACATATATAAACATATGTATGTGTGTATATACATAAATATTTTTTTATTCAATCGACTTGAACTAATACGTGTTGATATTTTGAAACTTTTGGATATATATGTACATATATAAATATATGCGTACATATATACATATATATTAATAGAGATTTTATGGAGCGAAAAATATTCCACCAACAAGGATGAAAAATTTTTCTATCCCCATATGAAGAAGATCACTGTGAATAGGGAAAATTGTCATCTTTATTCTGAATTTACTATTAACAAAATGTTTCCACATCTCTTGTGGGTAGGGATAGGGATAGGGATGTGAAAACAACTTTTGGGTGGAAAATCCTGAGCCATATGTTATTTGGATTGTAGCCGTAGCCCCCATCACAACTAATTCAACTCAACTGTTCTCACGTAATACCAAAAAAAAACTCTTCTCAACGTCTGAATAAATGTGCGATGCTTATGGTGGTTTTAATCGACTCTAGAACTGTTAAAAACAAGACGTACAATGAACTACCAAACCCAATCAGGAGCAAACATCCAGAGGGAAATGATTACGTGGCACTACTTTTATTTTATTTATAAAACCATAAAGTTTAGTTCATACATAGCCTTGCTGTTAGGCGTGTCAGATTTTAACCACTTCAAATTTTAATTGCTAACCAATTCATTGATCATTTGATGTACCAATCCTCTCCCATAATTCTTAATTGCTTGCTTTCAAAGATGATAGTGCTTGATGTAGAACCACTTCTGAATCTGATGGCCTGATGGGTAATGGGTGCACTACTTTAGTCAATTAATGATGTTAGAAAGTATAAGAAAAATCAACACATCAAACAGTTAACAAGCAATTTTGTGGAGTTATTAGCCGTGAGTGGGTGCCTAATTCCCATTAGAAGAAGCGACAATCCACCAAACCACAACAGTCCAATACACTAATTTCAAACCGGAACCACCCACTGCCACTCATATTAGAAGCTCCGAGTTGGGATCAGCTACCAACAAACACACTATGCTAACAGCGTCCCAACCAGCAGCCATTGACAACATTTCCGTTTTATTGGTAGAAGATCTCTGTCCAGAAGCGCCAGGCCCAGACGACTAAATTAGCCCTCCAACTCCAACTGCTGCAGCTCCGTGCATCCGTTCTTTGACTTGGCTTAGTAGAGGTTAACTGCACGTGATACAGATGTTGGTGAGATTGTTTCCTGACCACCCGATTGGTGGACTACCATCACCGATATCATGTACTCGAAATCGCAAGAAGCTCCATTCCTTTTCCTGCTTGATTGACTTTTGAGACCAATGATGCAACGTATCAATTGGACGGTCAGGATTCAACCGTCGACGGTCCGTTCGTTCAGAGAGAAGGCCGGGTGAGGGTGAGGCTGAGGCCCAACAGTGGTTCTGTTATCAATTGGACGGTCAGGATTCAACCGTCGACGGTCCGTTCGTTCAGAGAGAAGGCCGGGTGAGGGTGAGGCTGAGGCCCAACAGTGGTTCTGTTAACCTGATGCCAATCAAGCGGTAGATAAAGCCACTTTTGGGTTGGCTCCATTTCAGCATTCTGCCACTTGGAGGATTTTTTTTTTTTTTTTTTTAATAATTTCCGTGGAAGCTACGTATCACCCACTACCTCCAATTCCATTAAAGGATATAAAGATTGGTACAATAAGACTATCGGGAGTTTGAAATTTGGAGTAAACGAGAAGATAGATATCCACTCTCCAGAGACAGGAATCGGGTGTGTGTTTGCATCGGCCATCAGCAAAAGAGACTGAGAACCAAGCGTATGGTGATCTTTCTATGATTAGTATTTCTTCTAACAACCAAACTGAGTTTTTCTCAGAGTCACAGGCATCTCTCATGACTTACCCCAAGCCCATAAACAAATCCATCGTTAAAACCCCAGATCCCACCCTTTTGCTCTTTCCTTTAGTTTAGCAGTTGGCCTATCTTTTCATCCAAACACCAAATCCCTCTAAATTCTAAACTAACCACACCTAAACTAAAGAAAGAGAAGGACGACAGAGATTAATCCTTCTAAAGATTTCATTTTTCCATCTTTGTTAATTGTTACACTTGCACAGCAGCTCCCTCTATACATGTGCTTTCGTATAGAAATCCACATATAAGCAGCTCACTTCTCATGGCCCTCCCACCATCAATCCCAATGGAGAGCAGCAGCAGCAAGATTGTCAGGAGATCAATCTTCACCTTTCTCAAACACTACCAGCACTTCACCTCCATTGCCGCACTCTTCGTATTTCCTGTCTCTGTTTCCGTTCTCCTCTCTCAAGTTGTCCTGCCTTCTTTCTCCCCTCTCCTCCAAATCATTCATGCTCGTCTTCAATCTCTTTTCCATGCTGCAGGGTTCCCACCTTCCTTGCCATTCTTCTCCCTACTCAGTCTCAAGCTCTCTCAGACCATTTCTTCCTCTATTCTTACCGTTCCTTTCACCCTCTCCTTCCTCCTGATTGGAAAAGCATGCGTTATCCAAATTCTTCATCACCCCAAACTGTCCCTTTCATCTTCTTTGTCGTATTTTGCATTCCTTTACAGTCGCCTCCTCCTCACCTACCTCTGCAACTCATTTGTTATCCTAGCTGCCAACGCTGCTGCTTTCTCTATCCTCTTCCTCACCTTTAATTCCTTCGATGCCTTTGGCTTCTCCTCTCCCAACTTCCTTCTCTTGCTCTCAGCAGCCGGGGCCGTCCTCTACTCTGTTGTACTTGCTAATACCCTTGTCATCTGCAACTTAGCTTTGATTGTAGCAGGTATGGAGAACTGCAGCGGGTATCTGCCCATCCTCAAAGCTTGTGTCCTGATTAAGGGCAGGGCTTCTAAAGCTCTTTCACTCGCTCTTCCCATCAATTTGGGTCTGGCAGCTATTGAAGCCTTGTTCCAGTACCGGGTGGTAAGAGGCCATCATCTTTATGATAGATACGGCCCCTCTGTGGCCTTGGAGGGTATCTTGATTGCTTACCTTTACTCCCTACTCGTTCTCCTTGACACCATTGTAAGCTGCATATTCTTCAAGAGCTGTAAGTCAGCCTCACAAATGCATTCGCAAGGTAGATACAATTACCAGATGGGGATTGCCGAGGAAAACAACAGCATTTTCACATACTCCAAGGCCCTGCTAGAAATTCCCTGAAACAGTCTTACGAGGGTCAGCTTTACATCTTGTTCTTACATTTACTTGGCTCTCTTAGCTATAGTTTTGAGGATCACATTCACATTAAAGCAGATAAAAAAATGGAAAACCTCATAGGAATAGTTCTGGTTGCTCATGAAAAAAACCGAGCAGCTACCAAGTCATAAAGAAAATGGATCGGCTCAAAGAAGATGAGGCCATATTGTTCCATTTCTTTGTACTTTTTCAATATCTACTAGTTACATACATTTTGGCATTCTCTCTTGTTTCTCCCACTCTGTCTTCGTACTCGACATGTATAAAACATCATTGTAAAGATTACTACAAGATCAATAAATATGAAACATTAAAGTAATTGAACAAGTTGTTCTAGCAAGATGAACTTTACAATAACCTCATTCAAATATCCCAAAAAAAAAAAAAAAAAATCAAATATCCAAAATTACAGGTTAACACCAATGTGGGAAATCTTCATTTTGAACAGAAAAGGTTGGAAAAATAGGTCATAACTGTGGCCCTTCATCCTGTCTTGATGATGGAAAGAACCACGAACAAGAAATCACTATGAAATTCAAGGAATATAAAGGCATGTTTTCACTGCAAAAAACATACTCCATTCATTCATAGTCCCTCTTCCGTCTTCTCAGAGTGGACCTCAACCCCAAACTTACAGCTCCAAGGGAAAGGAGAAATGGGCCATCACTAAGTCCCATTGAGATCACAAATAAAAGAATATTCAACTTTTCACCTTGGACTCGGGGAGATCAGAAAAACACCAAACCCCATCTATTCTAGTCAGTCATAGCTTTATATGGTTAGTTTGGCTTGACGAAGATGATGCCTTGGATTTAAGTGCCCTATCTTCAAGCGCAGAGCTGAAGAGTTCGCTCCAGTTTGTTGACCTATGAACTATTCTAGGAGGAACTTGGTCACTATCTTCCCCTCCGGATGCCTCGTAACCATCGCTAGTAGACCTTGAGAGGGGTATGCCATTCTGAGAAGCAGTACCAGCAGAAGAAAGAGTTGTTAGACCTCTGCTCTCCTCTGCCCCTGATGAGACATGGAATGGGTGGAGATCAGGAGACTCTAGACTACTCTCAGGAGAAGAAGCAACCATCCCAGTTAATGCTGACATTGCTCGGCTTGTGCGAAAAGCACTGCGTGCTTCAAGTTGCAGAGGAGCCAAACTGGATGATGTTCCCACAATTAGGTCATTGTCGTTGCTATTGGCAGCCTTGGTTGATGTCTTAGCCAATGGTTCAAGTGGGAGGTCTGCTGGGATTCGGACCCGCTTGTTACCTCGCCTCCGATTTTCAGTCCTTGGAACCATCCGACCACTGTTACTGCCAAAGCTGCTGTCTGTTTCTAGGCCTAATGGTGTCTGCCGCCTCACCACAGGCTGAAGGATTCTGGATTTCTTCCTTGCCTGTAGAGCAACTTTTGAGACTTCTTCAGCATTCATGCGTGCCAATGTCCAAGGACTGATTTTCACAGCTCCAGGGTTCTTTCTCCTGACTTGTTCCTCACCCACCATCCTCTTCCCCGACAAGCTAATAGGCATTCCAGTCTCTGGAGGAACCACATCAAACTGGAAGAAAAGCAGAAATTATAGACATGAAACAACCCAAAACCCCAAGGAAAAAAAAAAAAAAAAAAAAAAGACCATTGTCCCCACAGATTTGCTGAAGCGTCCCAGAAAACAGAATAAAATAGAATGGTCTGATATTACCTGATCCTCAAGAAACAATCGTGGAGGAGTACACCATGCACCTCTGTGGAAGGTATTGAAGGAGCTTGCACTACTTAACCCAGTAAGGGAGCTTGCAGGTGACATCTGCGGACTCAGCTGACCTCCCACTCCTTGTTGATCCTGCTCTCTCAAAGCAATTATGTAATCATATGTGCTGATTCCCTGTCACACATAAAACATGTATTGAGCACATTATTGACTGCTTAAGTTTTATGGCGGTACCTATGACCCAATAGTTGACATGGTCAGTCTGCAATCCTCCAAAATAGGACGTGCAAGATCAAACCTGAAGAACTTGCAGGCTCTCTGCAAGTGGGCCTCATGTGCATCCTGCTATATCCCCACCCCTGACCTTACAGAAAAAAAAAATATATGTATGGTGCATTTCCTTTTTCCCCTCTTTCCTTTTTTTTTGGGTTGGGAGGGAAGAACAAGAAGAATTATTGCCCACCCAAGGAGGTGACCCAGAAAGAGTGCTGCCTCCTGTACTGCAAGGGATGAAGAACCATCCTTACACCATACCACTAGGATAACAGCATCAGTCAAAAACACAATATAAAGTATCAGGCAACTATTGGATTTACCTTTTTAATGAGGAGAACGTGAAAGAAGAAAAGCTGGGCAAGGGGTAGGGTTGCAATCATAGCCAAAATGGTACATGAAGCCTGTTAAATGCATATGATACAATTCATTAGTAATAGGACCAAAGTAAGGAATCGATACTTCATTTCCCAAACCAAGTTGAGCACAAAAAACATACCAATTTTAGAAAAGTCAAGCTATGACGCAGTTCTAAAGAGTCCAGTTGATAAAAAAAAATGTTCAAGAAAAGCATTTACTTGAGTTCAATGAGAAAACAAAAGGATGAAATCCAAGTACTCACCACCACAACAACAAAGGGCACCAACGAGAAACTACTCCCCAATTTGGAGGTGATCTCCACAGAGAACCGCTTCCTCTCAAGAAAACAGCAGATGATTACAAGGATTCCAATCGACCATTGTAGAATAAGCTGCAATCTCAAGCCCAAGGTGCACAAACCACGTATACACCTGTCAATAATCAAGAAAAATGAAAAGAGACATGAAAAGAAAAGGCTTACTCTTCAACTGAGGTGGTCATTGGTATGCCACGTGTTACTTCAGAACTTCAGGTGAGATGATTCCTCAAGGGAAAAAGATTGGAGGATGTCACATGTTACTTCAGGACTCCAGGTGAGATGATTAATAAGCAAAAAAGATTGTATAAGGTGGGGAAATGGGCTAGGTAAGCTGAGAGAGGAACAAATCTCAAGGTTGTGGAGAGAGCAAGAAGTTTAGGCATTTAGGGTTTCATGAAGCTTTTAAACAAAGCAAAATGAGGCAGGCTCGTGCTTACCAAGAAAAGGGCAGAAACCATTAGGGTGAAAAACTGTCGGTAGTTCTTTTTCCCGACACAATTATTGAGCCACTACAAAAACAAAGAAAAAAAAAAGACATTAGAGGTGATGTCAAGAATCTATGAAATCTCACAAAACCAAGAGTTCATATACCCTGCAATGATGATCGAAGCGGTCAACACACTTATCACAAACTCTACAATGCTTGCTATACTTGCAAACCTGCACTACAAATCTACAGAATCAGAATACCTCTCAAATGAACAAAATCATAAATTAAAACACCAGTGCCAGAATCAACTTAGCAAAATCTATTCATTGGATGTGCAGGCTACTGGCTACCTACATTGGCATAATCCCTTTACCCCCGTGTTTTAAAAGCCCAAGGTGCAAAAAAGGCACAAGGGTCAATTTGCACTCAAGGCACAGGGCAAGGCATGAACCTTTTTGAAGCGAGGTGAAAAATTTTTAAAAATTGCTAAAAAATTAAAAAAAAAAATCAGAAAATTAAGAAAAAGGGCAAAAAATTCAAAAAAAAATATTAATAAAAAATATAAACTTAAATTTTAAAATAGATGTTTTAAAAAAGTAAAAAACCTATTATCTAAAATTAAAATACATAAACATAACATGTAAAGCATATTCAAATGAGAATTTTAAAATAAAATTGAATGTATAAAACATTTTCAAGCATGTAAAACCCACAATCTCTTTTTTTTCTCAATTGCATTACTTCAAGTAGCTAATGTGATGCAAAACATATTACATTTTTTTTTTATCAATAACACTTTCATTAATTCATCAGTAGAAAATTTACAAGTGACAAGCCGCTGTTGTGCCACACCCCTCAAGGCAAGCCCAAACAAGTCCATGTTAGGGTCTTAAGTTCTTAGTTCTCACACAAAAAATAATGATTTTATAATTTTAATTGCTTTTTAAGAAGATATTTTATTAGGATGAATGAACGAACAACATTACCAAATAGGGGGTTCTCGGAGCTTCGGTGAGCGAGGGGCGTGGCATGGGGGTCCGGGGATGGAGACCCCAACCCAGCCGCTAGGTTCAAAATAAAGCAAAAAAGCATCAAATTTTCAAAAGGCGCACACCTAGGTGCACCAGGCGTGCACCTAGGACCTAGGCAAGGCACATACTAATGCGCCTCGCCTGTGTGCCTAGGCATGCCTTTTAAATCACTGTTTTACCCTTGACCATTCATTTGGTGTATTGAATTCGATGTTCTTTTAGCTAAGAATGGAGAAATATGAAAAGAAGGAATATTTAAAGTTGAAAAAAATGCATATATAAAAGATTTCAAGGAAGAGCTCTTGCAGTTGCATGAAACCTTTTATTCTGCTGGCCTTTTCATTCTTCTGCTTGTTTTAACTATGACTTGAAGCACTTGCAATCTTAAACCATCAAAAACTCTAATTCATACTCAACAAAAGACATGTACAATTAAGCGAGGCAAGCTAATACAAACTATGAAACTATACATTTATACAATTACAAATACTGTTCCAGCATTCTGCTCTATTGAGGGCCAGATCTTCCATTAGATTGTGGGTCTTCAGAACTTCTTCATTAATCCAATTGACATCCTTTTTCAGATTATATATAAACTCGTATATCTATATCAATTGTGTTCCACGTCATATCAATAAAGGAATAAGGCCAGAATTTAAACGGAAGAGTACAGACTATATTAACAGAATTCATGTAGCTGACCCCATAAAGTTGGGACAAAGCTTCGATGATGATCATGATGATGAGACAGACTATATTAACAGTTTACCATTACAGATTTACAGCACATGTACATAGGCAAATTGGGGGCAAAGCAGAGGATCTAGAGCGAGTGAAATGGCAATCTTCTTATTGTAACAGTCATGCAATGGATGGTGAATTTATCACTAATCATCCAATCCATAGAATAGAAGGGCTATGTAATCATGTTGACTACGAATTAGGAGATCTACATATTGGCACCCATATATGTCGATCTAGTCCCCAGCATGCACACGAATCCTTATAAGCAATTCAGAAGAGTGCCCAACACAGACATCAGATTTTCTTGTAGCAAAGAACACAATGCATGACTCCTAAATTAGAAAGGGTATACAAACATTATATGGTGGTAAATGCCTTTACATACCTCCACTTCACACAAACTGCAATAGAACATGCCATCCTCACTTGTTTGCAACTCGGAAGATTGTTCATGTGGACTCAAGCAGTTATACATGACCACACATGGACAAAACCCCAACAAATATATACAACAAGATGGACTGTGAGAGGATGTATTCTTTTCAATTTCACTAGTGGGGCCCACCTCAGTGGTGGCATCATTGTCCACCTTGCATTCATCCATGGGCTTATCTCCAACAATTGCAGCATTGACATCATGTTTTGAGGAACTTGATTCCCCTCCTAATTTGGATTCCTTGGATAGACAATGCATTCCATCAATGACAGTGTTAACATACTTCTTGGACTTGAAGACTCCTGGATCTGCAGGATCTGCTGCTGCACACCAAATGTACAGGCCGAATACAAATGTAATCTGGCAAGATAAGTAACATGTTAGTCAGAATAAAGTGAGAACAAAGAACATGGTAGTTCAAAATGTATGCATCATTCACTAAGCTCAGCTAGTTAGTTAGATAAACAATTTAAAAGACTACAACCTCAAAACTTTTTTTGTTAATCAATAACAAGAAAATTTATTAATATAAAAAACAGTACATCTGGAACTGATGAGATATCACTGGAGTACAGCCTTTTTTCAAAAAGAGTAAAAGAGTAAAAAATACAAGGGGAGAACAACAAAGATGATGCAACTACAACCTCAAAACTTGCAAGGCATCTAATAAAAGATGTGTTTTTAAATCACAAGAACATGCCTAATAGCATGCAACAACTTATTCAAATGACCATATCATTTACTAAGGACCATCTCAACAGGTTCAAGATCAGTTTGCACATTGCATAACTTCCAGAAATGAATTTTAAATAAGATTCTAAAAGTTTAACATGATATATGCAATTATGCATAGCGTATGATGTAACTGTTTCTGGTCACGTACCAATTTTTTTGTGATGTACCAATTTTTTGGCTAAGTACCTCGTCTTTTGACTTGCTCCCAGGTGGCCTGTGACTCAAGAGGATGATGGAGCTCCCTGGTGGTGAACTGCCTGGTGATGAGCTACTTGGTGGCGAACTCCCTGGTGGTGAACTACCTGGTGACGAGCTCCTTGGTGGAGAGCTACCTGGTGACGAGCTCCCTGGTGGTGAGCTACTTGGTGACGAGCTCCCTGGTGGAGAGCTACCTGGTGACGAGCTCCCTGGTGGAGAGCTACTTGGTGACGAGCTCTCTGGTGGTGAGCTACTTGGTGACGAGCTCCCTGGTGGAGAGC